GAGTCCTTGGGAAGAAAGCACCACCACCCAGTTACCACGAGGGGGAGCGCCAAGCACGGGCACCCTGGCTGCCCCCAGCCGCCGCCACTTACATGCAAACGCCGCGGTCAGGGAGCGGGCCATTTCTTTATTTTTTTTCACAAGCTTTGATTTCAGAAATAAGAGCCACAGTAAGTCAGTTGTTAAGTAAAAATGGGGGTGATTACAAAGGAAAACTATGTACAAAACTGTAAAAATCTGACCGGCCCGTCAGCCGCCTTGGAGGGATCAGGACACAGGCACAGGGGACAGCTGCCACCCCGCCTTCGCCAGCCCTTTCTGAGTGTGCACCTGGCTCGGCCTGCAGTCCCGAGCGGGCTGGAAGGACACACACAGACTGCAAAGACGTCGTGGTGAGTTACAGGGGCCACGGAGACCGGGGTTCCTGACACAGGACGTGAGTGATGCAGTGGGGGTGTGGTGGGGTGGGTTTCCTTCCCGTGTAGACCCGGGGTGGGTGGGGCGATGAGGACACATCTTCTGTGAGTTTTGGAGCTGCCCCCGAGGGCTTGAGGTCTCGGCAGCGTGTCCCCATCAGTCCTTGGCCACGTTCCGTCGGTCACACTCACAGACTCGCATACATAACTTAGTAACATGCATCAACTATCCTAGAACAGCTACGGGGGTGCAAGGGAGCCACTCAGAGAACCGTGGAGCCCGTGGCGTCAGAACGGGAGGGACAGTACGAGGCGATGCTAGGACCTGTGTTCACTAAGGGGGGGCCTGAAGACGCCATGCTCTGAGGTGGACTCAGATGGACACACAACTGTGGGCAAGGGGTTTCCAAGCAAACACACCACACTAGTACCACTTCTTCCTAAACAGAAAAGGAAAGAACATTTCAGTTTCCCCCCATCAGTACCAAATACAACTGTGGGTTTCCAAACACGGACAGGGAAAGGGATGCCCGTCCTTCCCAGAATCCTTCACGCGGGCTCCTCCTCTCCCGGCCTTCACCCGAGGCTGGTGATGTTGGAGCGGCCACCAGGGGGCGCCACGATGCGGTGGCCGGTGCGCCGGGGGTTGTTGTCATCTATCTGGGCACCTGGAAGAGACAGGCAGTCACTCAGGAGAGCTGTTGACACCCGTTCCACCTGCTACTCCTGCGGGGTGGGTGCCCCCACCACCACCATGTCCCCTAGCCTTCCGGACACAGAGCCCTCCTCTCAGTGTACCTCTGTCCTCTCCACCCTTCGGTCCAGGGTCACCTCCAGGAAGGCTCCCTGACTGCCACGGGGCTCACTGCTCTCCCTTCTATGCCCCCCAGGCCCTGGGGTCACCCTCCTGCAGCCCTGACCACTCACGCGCTTCCTGTCCGGCTTCACGTTCCTGAGACGGGTGGGCCGACACTTGAGCGCCTGCTGTGTGCAGCACAGCCTTGGGGCTGTAGCATATGTTGCTGAGGTTAGGGCACACAGCAAGACTATGAAAGAGGTGTTGTCGTTCTACCCCCAATTTACAGATGAGGAATTTGAGGCTCAGGTCTTGCACTCTGGGGGGCACACGCGAGGGCAGGGAAGCCAGGATTCCAGCCCCAGCTGGCTTGTCCCCAAAGCCTCAGCTCCGACAGCTCACTCAGGACAATACTCGGCACGGCGCCTGGTGGTCCCAAGGTGTTCAGTGTGCTACGCATGGGAGCACACGGGCGTACAATTGCATACTGTGCTCACATGTGTGTATTTGTGCATGCGTGTGCCTGTGTGTGAACTACTCAGAGCTGGATTTACCCACCTTGTTGGCAATGTGCAGATCTGCATGAGGGCAGGGGCAGCCTTCTGTTTTAAATCTGCAAAGTCAGCCATCCATCCTAATCTCCTGTGTTCCCTAGCACTTAAATAAAGATTTAAAATTCTAGCACTGGGGTGGGAGGGTATAGTTCAGTGGTAGAGTGCATAGTTAGCATGCATGAGGTCCTGGGTTCAATCCCCAGTACCTCCATTAAAAAATTAATTTAATTAATAAATCTAATTACCTCCCCTCCGCCAAGTAAAAAAATTAATTAAAATTTAAAAATTCTAGTGCCAAGCCCAGTGCCTGGCCCTCAATAAACATGTATTAAACGGCTAAACGATGGATAATGCTGAAGGAGGGGTATGGGGGAGGTCCTAGGATCTGGCCAGGAGACTTAGCTTCCACTACAAATGCTGCCAGTAATTTGGAATCAGACACTCCCCTCTTTTGGCCCCATTTCCCTTTTTGTAAAATCAGAGCAGACGACTACCCTCCAAGTGTTCTGTACCCCAACATCTCAAAGCCCGGGATTTATGGCAAAGGAGGTGTCACAACGCGCACAGGATGGCATTCGCTGGATTCGCCATGCACCTCGCTGCTCAGGGGAAGCTGACCTGATGGGACGGTCTGTTAAAGCGCTGCCAGGGCGTCTGCTCAGGCTGAGAGCCTGAGGTCGATACGCGGTGTGCACTGACCCAATGTCCCCAGAAACCAGGGGGTGGAAACAGGACTATCCACTGTCATCATCGCCCCATCGCCAAAGAGGGGTAAGCCCAACAACAAGACAAAGTGCTAAACCCCGGAAGTCATCAGGATTTACAAATTCAGACTCCAATGAAATCACCCTTAAAAAAAAACCAGACGAGGCCCTCCCACCTCTGACGTCGTATGGTCTCTGGACGCCACTAAGAGCTGGTTTAGAGAACGGACCTCTGTCTTCTCGCACTGTCCTTGGTAGCCAGGGCGTCGCCCTGGTAATTCAGGAACCTCCTGACGACCCAGAATCAGCCTAGTGCTTGATCACCCTGGTTTCCCCTCATGATACCTGTACCCTGCTAGTCACATGTCGGGTGCCTTGAAAATCCCTGGTGGGCGAAAGGACACCGGCCACACGTCTATGACGCGACCCCACACAGGTGTTTAAGGGACACGTGGAAGTCGCTCCTGACACTGGGCGGCGGTGATGCTGCTGGTGTCTGATGAAGGCGCCCGTGAGGCTGCTGCGGGGCTGCCCAGCGGTACTGGGCACTCAGGGGGACCTGGGGGCTGAACGGGGGACCAAGGGTGGTCGGGGGGGCCCTACCTGCAAACTTTGTTCCATTGTTTTTCTTGTTCTAAAAGGGAGGGAATGTCACTCCGTGTTTAATTGCAATCAGGAATCGTATAACACGAGAGCAGAGATCCAGCTGGCAAACTCCCTGAGAGGTGCTATGTCTTCCCGGCTGCGCAAACAGTCCCTGTTGTGTTGGGTCCCCAGCCTCCAACAGGCAGTCCCAAGCAAGGTCCCAGCGTGTGCCCGCCTGCCCTCGTGTGGTGACCGGATGAAACTGCAGGCACGTGTCCCAAGGGCCTTCAGAAAGGCTGAGGTTTTGGTCCACACACATTTGTCCAGCACCAAGTACTGGCGTTTTGACATGGAATGTCTTGGGGGCATCCATTTCCTCCTTACAGAAATAGGGGTAACACCGCTCTCCACACAGGGTTGTGAGAAGATGAAACAGTCATGAGTTACGAGTGTGCAGGATAAACAGCCTGCAGACCCACCTCTCCACGTTTAGCCTCACAGGAAAGAGCGCAGACGTGTCCCCAGATGTGCTTAAGGACGAACACGTGGGTAGTTTTCATGCGGACTCTTCATAAACCAGGGTCAGGTGTCTCTCTGTGCTGCCCCCACGGACCCCCTCTGCTTTCTGACCCTTCCAGCCCCCTCTGCCAAGCCGGGAGTAGGGGCGGAGGGGACCCAACACTCCCCCCTTGGCTCTTCATCCCGTGCCTGAGGCCATGGGTCCATTTCTGCAGGTTTCGGGCTCTCGGCACCACCATGGCCCGGGGAGCCTTGGCCGCTGTACCTTCCTACCTGATAAACTGAAGTTGGACTGGTGGAGGTTTCTGATGGGCGGAGGCTGGTGTTTGGAAGGCGAGGACTTGGCGGAAGGAGCCGGCGTTGCGTACTTGGGTGTGGCCGGCACCTCGTACACGGGACCGTCATACATGCCCCTGGGGACCCCTTGCAACCCAGAAACCTAAACAGGGAACAGGAGAGCACATGACTGACAGAACGCACGCCTGCAGTCCCCTGTGCAGGAGAGCGAGCCGTCTCCTCGGGGACACGCACACTCACGAACGTGTGCATGCACACGCATATACATGCTTGTACACACATCACACACGCGCCCACTTACACACACGTACAAGGCACATACATGCACACACACACTGGCACACACACGTGCGTGCATACACACAGGCGTACACATATAGCCACACACATACACACACAGAGCTGGGCTTTGTGCAAACATCAGCCGTTTTAATGTGGGAAGCAGCAGTCTGTCATGGTGATGGGAGGGACTTGATTAGGGAAGACGAGGGACCACCGATGGGGGACTATCTAAAGCAGGAGCAGGCGTCCTCCTCTGAGCTGACTGGAGATGGGACATGCCCTGCTCCACGCCCTTTGACCTCCGGAGTCCATGCTAAGATTCCTCAAGAGGAAAGGAAGATGCTGAATGGAAGGTGGTACAAGGGGAAGGAGAAAAGAGGGCAGATCTGAAGGGAGGCCAGATGCAGTGTGCCGTCCCTCGACTGTGCTAGGGGTGAGTTCTTTCTAGCAAGCGGCAATGCCCAAGGGGCCCAGAGCTCTCCTAGCTGTGTGATGCTGGTCAGTCCAGCACCGCTTTGAGCACCAGGGTTCTGATCTGCAGAAGGGGGGCTAGACATCTCAAAGAGGAGGTAGTGAGGACTCCCTCCGAGATGATGCAGGAGGGGCACCCTGGTCAGTGGGCTCCCAGGAGTCCTCCCATTCGCACATGTGCACAGCCCTTTACAGTTTGCAAAGCCCTGGAACCTCCTTGGTTTCGTCTGGTCCTGAGATGCAGGCAGGTCCCATCATAGCTCAGGGAACCCGAGAGGAAAGGGAGGCCCATACAGCTGTGGCATCTGTCAGCCCTGCACGCAGCAGACCCCGGCCCCACGCACCTTGTTCCTGATCCTGACGCGCTGGTAGAGGTACTCGGGGAAGGGCTTCCGCGGGATGAAGCGGCCCATGCCCTTGTTGACGTTGACACTGCCGTCCTCGAAGACGACCTTGCCCTGGCTGATGACCACCAGCGGGGCGCCGTGGCACTCCATGCCTTCGAAGATGTTGTACTCCACCGCCTGCAGGGTGACAACCCCAGGCTTTCGTCCCGCTCCCAAGCGCTTTCCCCGCACGAGCCCCGTCATGCTCATGGTGAATCTGCTACGCAGCACATCGCAGGTGGTTTCCAGGGTTTTTTCTCTCTGAAAACACCCTCTTTGGGACCGTGTAACACTCCTCTGTCCGCTCGTTCATTTGCATCATCAGACCCTCACAGTCGGGCGCTTATGGGGCTCGTGGTTTCATGGAATCTAACTAAGACGGTCTGGGTGACATGAACGTGAGTGGGGCACCCTGGACTTAGGCCGTGTGGCCACTCTGACTGTAATGGACCTTTCCGGGTCTTCTTTTAAAACCATTTTCTTTAGGATAGTTTCCTAAAACTCAACTACTGGGTCAAAAGCTATGAGCTTCTTCAAGTTGCCCATTGCCAAGTTACTTTCTGAAGACAACAGACCAATTGACATCAGTCATGGGGGACAGAAGTACTTCGTGACTTCGTGTCTATGGAATCTGCTCCAGTGCTGGGTAAGTCATTTTTAATTTTTTCTTTTTCTTTCTTTCTTTTTATTTTTTTACTAATTTGAAAGACAAAACATTTTCTTAAAAATACACATTCCTTCCATCACTTCTAAAGTGAATATAATCACCAACAGCAACAGTGGTTACTTTGATTATTTAAAAAGGGGTAAACTGGGAGTTCGGGGTTGGCAGATACTAACCACTATATATAAAACAGATAAACAACAGAGTCCTACTGTAGGGCACAGGGAGCTATACTCAATACCTTGTAATGGCCTATAATGAAAAAGAATATGAGAAGGAATATACGTACGTGTGTAAGTGAATGACTAAGCTGCACACCAGAAATTAACACATTGTAAATTGCCTGTAAGTCAACTTAAAAAAAAAAGTAGGTTGTTATATGGTATAAATTCAAACGGTACAAAAGATACGTGGTTTTCAAAAAACAAGTCCCTCACTGACCACAGACTGAGATGCTTGCCTCCAACAGACCCTCCTGGGCCCCCAGATCTTTTCTGTGTGAATAACTGTCTCACGTTGCACGTGTTCCGTACAGGCTCACCCTAGTTTTTCTCCTTACCTCAAAGAATGGTCCCCAACAGCACGAGTCCCTGCATTAAAAATGTTTCTGATGTTCCTTAAACCGTTTTGATTCCACAGGAACGTACTGTCATTTACTAATCCAGTTCCCAGGGGCGAACACGTGGGTCGTTGCCCTGCTTTTGCTGAAAAACCACGCTGAACACACTAGTGTGTCCACACCGGCACGTGTGAACATCGTCCTAGACGAGGGGGTTGAGCCAAAGCCTAAATGGCTTTTGACTTTGACAGACTTGGCCGCCAAAAGGCGGCACTGGTTTCCATTCCCGACAAAACCCCATGAGCTCGTCAGCCCCCACAGTCCGACCGCATCCGCGTGCCCCTGCATCTCAGTCACCGGCTCGGGTGACAACAGCGCGATCTGCGGTGATTCGCATTTGGTTATTTATACGTGAGATCTGGTCTGTTTTTAAATGTGTAGAAACCATTTGTATATTTCTCCTCGTGTCCCTGTGTTCTTGAGCCCTGGCCTCTTAAGTTCTTGGCTTTCTCCTCACTGGTTTCTAAGCACATGTTCAGCGTTAAGGAATTTATTCCTCTGTCCTGTTGTATCGCCAGTACGTCGTCCCCTGACTATCCCCTGCCTTCTGACCTCATATAAAGTAATAAATATTAATTGTTGCCATGCAGAAGGGTCTTTTTTTTTCTGGTTTAATTTGTATATAGTCAGTGATCAAACAGACTAATTTCCTTTTTATTTTCTAAGTGTTGTGTCTTGCTAAGAAAGGTCTCCCCTCTAAAAGGATCATTTTTTTAAATGTATTTTATTCTGGTCCTTTCATAGCTTTATTTGAATCTTTGACCCATTTTGAATTAGTTTTGTGGTGAAAAGGACAGCAGAGGTCTTAGCCCTGCGAGCCCAGTGTTTGAACACAACAGGTTGAGTACCTGTCTGTCTAATTTTAACTGACTCCTTCATTGTAAATCAAACGCTCGTATGCAGTGGGCCTGCTGCCTGGCTGCTTCTCTTGTGCCAATAGCCGACTGTCTCGATGTTTGTAGCTTTATAACACAATTTAATAAATGAGGCGACTAGCACTCTCCCTTAGTTTTCCACTGTTGTCAGAAATGTTCAGCTATTCTCAGATTTTCCATCTAGAAACTCTGCTCTTTTACCTAAAAAACAAGTCCAGTAAATTTTCTGAGGGGCTTACTTCAACTCCATAAGTTAAATTAGGAAGAATGGATATGTTCACTCTATTGAATCCTTTTAGCATAAAAGAACTTGCATTCATGTGTCTTTAGTTTTTATTGTTCTTAGAAACAGGATTTTGATTTCCATTTGTTTCTCAGAGTGTTTTTTTCCATTTTTTAAATGGAGGGATGGGGGATTGAACCCAGAATCTCATGCCTGCTAAGCACACGTTCTGCCACTGAGCTGCACCCTCCCCACTCAAAGTGCTTTTTAATTATTTCACAGAAAAAAATTATTTCATAGAAAATTCTTTATATTAATTTGTAATCAGCCAGCAGATTCTCTTATTGTTTTTGATGGCATTTATCTGGGATTTCAAGGCAACAATCAGATTTTCCACTAACAGCTGCTAATACTGTGCCTTAGAATCTTTGTAGCCGCTGCCTCCCAGGACCCAAGCAATTTGTTTTCAGTTTTAACACTTGCTAATCTAACACTTCCTGAGTCACCCTAAAGTGACCTTGCTTTGCAGTAATTTATAATTTTACTCAAACTAAAATGTGGGCTGTAAATGCTGAAAAGCGTTGAAGAGGCAAATCACCCACCTCCCTCCCAGCCCACACTGACCAGCCGGGTGGGCTGAGCCGCTCAGCCCCGACCAGCCTGTTCTCTTCTCTTCTCGGGGGGAGGACACGTTACGTGCCCCAGGGGCGCTCCCCCAGGGGCGAACCTTACCAGCTGCCGTTTATATTGCCCACAAATGTCCCGTTCCATGTTCCACAACTACCTAGAGTTTTCAAAGCTAATTGTTCCCTTTCTTAAAGGTAATAGAAACAATGTAAAAATTCAAACAGTATAAAAGATCATGATTTTAAAAACTGTCTTCTCATCTGAGCCCCAGTTCCCTAGTCCCCCTCCCAGGAAGCAGTTACTATTCCTCAGTCTTTTATAAAGACAGCCTGACACTGATGAATGCATAAGCATGGTATATGTTTATGTCAAAAAATGGACGAATGTGGTCGATCCAAGCAATGGAATATTATTCAGCCATAAACAGGAATGAATTGATACCTGCTATAGTGTGCATGAGCTTCTGAAACAAGATACTAAGTGAAAGAAGCCAGATACAAAAGCCACATATTGTGTGAACCCATTTCTATGAAATGTACAGAATAAGCAAATCCATAAAGAGACCAGATGCGTGGTTGACAGGCTGGGGGAGGGAGGAGTGGGGAGTAGCTGCTAATGACTACTGCGTTTCTTTCTGAGGGGATGAAAATGGAATGAGTACTGGTGATGGTACAACCTTCTCAATTTTAAAATGGTGAAATTCATGGCATGTGAATTACATCTCAACAAAAGAATGTAAAAACCTAAGTCGTCTATGCCATACAATCCTATATGTTACCTGTGCTGCGACACTTTGAAGCAAATACTTTTCGCACTAAGATATGAAAGAATAAAAGTTGTGTTCTTTTTACAGAAAAGGAGATTTAAATTTTTAATCATGGATCAACCTATAAGAAATGATTTCTTTACAGTTGTTAAAAGGAAAGTAATATTTTTAAACTTAAAAAAAGTGAAACTAACCCCTAAAACTGCACTTCCCAATCCCTGTTCCGCAATACACTCGTTTCCTCACTGTGGGGATGGTACTGCTTTGAACAGAAAAGAATGGAACAGACAAAAACCGGTCGGTCTCATGGCGTCCTGAACTGTCCCTTTCTGGCTAAGAAAATCACTCAAACCTGGCTTGGCACAGAGAGGGGATACGTCCCAAGTGTAACTCACCTGGAACAATCACCTCCCACGTGGGCAACCTCAGGTACCTGACTGATTATTATGGGTTGAAATATGTCCCCCAAAAAGGTCTGTTGAAGGCAACTGTATTTCGAAAGGGATCGTCGCAGACGTCGGTAGTTAAGATGAGGTCACTGGAGCAGAGTGGGCCCTAAGCCCGATGACTGGTGTCCTTATAAGATGGCAAGACACAGGAAGATGGCCAGAGATTGGAATGATGCAACCACAAGCCAAGGAACGTCAAGGATGGCCAATGGCGCCAAAGGGCAGGAGGAAGAGCCCCCGGGGGAGCACGGCCCTGCTGACGCTGATTTCAGGGCCCTGGCCTCCAGAACTGTGAGAAAACACATTCCTGTCGTTTCAGCCCACCAGCCTGTGGTCCTTTGTGACAGAAGCCCCAGGGAATTAACAGGCATCCTCTCTCTGTCCATTTTCTCACTTAGTAATAACAACATACCTAACTGAGCTTATTGTATTAAGTGAGATGAGGCATGGAAAAAGTAAACACAGAGTAACTACAAAGCAAGATTTGACTGGGGTTTGATAATAATCGAAACCCTGGCTCCCAAGTGTGGAACGTGCATGTCCACTGATTATGTACCAAAACAACAGGAGATGGGGGTTCCGTGCGTGCCCAGCTCAGCCTCTCTCCCACCACCCTGTCTCCCTAGCTGGCCAGGAACCCTCTTCCTCCCTGGACCATGACGGCCCTGAGAGCCGAGGGGCAGCTCCAGTGGCTGGACGGCGGTGGTGACGCACGCCCGCTCACCTGCACGGCCTTCTCACGGGACACCTTGCTGACACCACGGGGGAGCAGCGTGCGTCTCCTGTGTTCCCAGACCCCACTCCCTGTGTGCACATCACCGCATCCCTAGTAATTAAAATGGAACCGTGTGCTTCGGGGGTGGTGAGTGTGGAGAAGAGTGTCCATCTTTCTCCGGGGGAGGTGACCTCAGGCTTGATTCCTCCTGAGCTGTTCCCAGGGATGGGGGTGAGGGAAGAAGGCGTGTCACCAGGGAGCCCTGGTGAATTTAAGAATGACGGCTGGTTGATGAGCTGGACAGATCTCTCTGTCCCCATGCCATGGCTCTTGTGGCCAAGTGGTTCTTGTCACAATCTCATGAGGCTTCCTTGTGCCTGGGGTCCTGTCCCCATGCACATGGTCTCGCCCCTCAACAGGGACTGACCTCTGGGCTGGGAAGCGGCACCCATCGTAGGGTGATGCTCTGTGCACACACTCTGCCTCCTGGCCCACGTCCTGCAACAGACTTTGGTGAGTCAGGAACCAGGCCATGGCCTCTGTGTCTTGTGAGTGTATGTGTTAATCTGGTCCTTACACTACTGCTGGCCATGCAGAGCGGGCTGAAGCAAACACGCAGGGAGGGGAAGATGTCTTCTATCTCTGCATCCTTAGAGGTTTGCTGGGTGAGTGAAGAAGTCAAGGGCACGTAAGATACAAAGGGCAGAGGAAACCCACACGCACAGGCTTGAGGCCTGGATCCAGGGAGAGCACACCCTTGGTGTGAGCTCAAACAGCACGAGGCAGTCCACCCTCCTCCTCTGCTGACGGCCAGCAGTTGGCCCCCAGCTGAAGTAGGGGGTTCCTGAGACACCAGACCAAACCCTCTCCAGCTTGATAACTAAACTGGAGAAAGGATCTTGCACCTAATACTTCCCCTCTCTGAGCCTGCTGGCTCACTCCACGGAGTCACGAGCAGAGTCAGCTAGCTGAGAATAAAATACATCACGCATCGGGGGAAGAGCCCCCGAGAGAGGGGGGGGGGAATTAATAAATCGCTTTAACCAGAGGCTTCTAAAATGATCACAAAGCGAGAACCGCTTACCCACGCCAGGAGTGGTGCTGATAAACCAGGACTCACCGACTTGTGACTCTTGGCTGTGATGGTCTTCACCTTGTCAGGGTCCCAGATGACCACGTCAGCGTCCGAGCCCACGGCAATCCGCCCTTTTCTGGGGTACAGGTTAAAGATCTTGGCTGCATTGGTGCTGGTGACAGCAACAAACTGGTTCTCATCCATTTTGCCAGTAGCCTGGAGGCAAGACCCACGGATGAGAAAAGCATCCCCTAACAGGGCCAGAAGGGGCAGACAGGCACAGAGCTCAACCTGCCAACAGAGCCCCGACGAAGAGTCTGGAATTTTCTCCACTCCCTGCTGAAACCAGGCCATCCTGAGAGAGTCCCAGGGGCCTGGCCTCATCAGATCAGATCAGACACGTAATTAACTCCTCAGAGGTGTCTCGATGTTTTCACAACAGCCCCCCTGGCATCTGGTCAGTTTCACTGGGTCCCCATTTGGTAGAAAATTAAAATTTCCTGTTTCAAGTCAGTGATCAGGGTGTGACCTGGGACTTCCTTATGCAACAGGAATCCTCTGTGCCCACTCTCAACCCCAAACCTGAACACACACACACACACACAGTTTACAAAGTCATCTTTACATGGACTGAAATGTCGTTAAAACAAAACAAAACTGTCCCATCCGTAAAGACTGCAGGATGGTTGTTGTATCTGCAAACGCAGAGGACGTCAAAGGACTCGTGCTGTTTTCTTAAGGGTCACACGTGTGCCCTCCTGGTGCATGCTGCTTCTGCCTCAAAGCAAGAAAGGGAATTTAAGAACCAGAAGTGCATGACACGTGGCTTCAGTGGGCCTGGAGGGCGCTTCTAGGCTGTTCTCGGGGTTGGGAGTGGGGAGATGGTGCCGCCTTACCACTGCCTTGTCCCAGACCACGGTCATCCGCTCCTCTATCCCGTTGACACCCTCGGGGATGAGAGTGAAGTTGTCCTTGCCCACCGCCTTCTGGGCAGTGCTGTAGGGACAGTGTCCGCTGCCCGTGACCTGCAGGTCTCCACTGGCAAAGACAAAACAAGGTGGGATTCAGACCCGAGTTCACATGGTGGAGCAGACCCCAACCTCAGACACCCAATCAGGCTGTAAAACTCAAACCCGAAACAAGACAGGAGGGCAGAGGGCAGGGCACAGCCATCAGCACCAAGATGGGGGAGATTCAGCTCCCAGTGGGCCCTGAGTGTCATTATAGGCTCACTGCAACACAGCAGCTGCTAAGTGGCCTCCCACAGACATCATGACAGACCCCAGGCTGACCACAAAAGGTCAAAAAGTGGGCGGCGGCCCACTTCCTGGGAATCCCCGCCCCTTCCCCAAAGTAGCTGGAATAAGCCTCCCACTTTTAGCATGAGGAGCTACCGCGCCCATAAAAGCTAACAACCCGCCACCCCAGGCCTCTCCCTCTCTCAGCCTCTCTTGCCTTCCGAGGGGCCCACACGCTATGGAGTGCACACCTCTCTGAATAAATCTACCCCCGCTCTCCTGTGGCTCGCTCTTGAATTCTTCCCTGCGCGAAGCCAAGGACCTTCACTTGGTGGGGCACGTCCCAGGGACTCCCCTGGGACCTGGGACATGGCCATCCTCTTGTGCCCCACTGCCCTGCATCACAAAGAGATTCTGGGGACAGGATTTGGGGACATCACGGGCCTTACTTAGTGACACTGGAAGGCCCTTCGGCCTTTGATATCTTGCTGAAGACTGCAAAGAGGCCCGGGCATCAGGAGGAGGTTCTGTGTGACTGTGGGCGCTGGCTGGATGCACACCCCCGCCCCTTCCTGGTTCCTTCTGATTAGAAGCCCCGAATTATCCTCGCCCATCAGGTAAACTCTTACTCATCCCCTGTGTCCAGACCTGATGTCACCTCCTCCATGCAGCCTTCGGAGGGTGCACCTCTGCTTCCAGAGCAGCCTGCACACCTCATCACTGAGCCTTCTCTCGCGGCCCTAAGTGTTCTTCCCTCGCGCTGGCCGACAGCAGAGAGGGGTAAAACTGCTGTGCTCCTGTTGTGTGCAGGCAGCAGAGCACAGCCCCGCGGCCACCGTGAACCCCGAATTCCAGGCCTTCTACCTGTGCTGGCTCACACCCAGCTCCGCGGCGGGGGCTGCGCTCGCCCCACGTCGCTGGTGAGTCAACGGAGACAGAGACACCACAGGGTAGGGGACCCGCCAGGGGCACAGCCAACCCGTGTTGAGGGAGGACGAGGATGTTGGTCTCACATTCTTAACTCTGTGTTTCCCAATGTCCCACAGTGCCAGGCACACAGAAGGTGCTTAAATGCTGCAGTATAAATGGGAAAAAACCTAGAAAAGTGACTGGAATGGTAATTGAATGAAACAGACCCTGGGGCCCCTGAAGGCCTGCTGTAAGCAACCTGGAGCTTTGTTCCGAGTTGTCCCAGAGCACCCAGCCCAAGGCCCCCTCACTGAGCCAGCTGCGGCTTCCTGCCCTTCAACCCCCCACCCCACCGGCCCAGCCCCCCCACCCCGCCGGCCCCCGGGCTCTCACCAGGCCAGCAGGGAGGTCAAGTAGTCAGGTGTGGTGGGGTCCGGGCTCAGGGGAGGGGAGGTCACAAAGGCCGCCGCCTTGGCCCAGTTCTTGCTCCAGTAATGGGTGCCATCGGTCCCCAGACTGGCAGCGATGGGCTCGCCAAAAACGAGGGGGCCTTGGGAGACAAACACAAACACTCATAGTTGAGAGCGCTCTCTTGGGAGATGCTGACGCACGGAAATAGAAGATCCCAGAGGCCGGAGAATGAGACGGTCCGTCCTTCCCCCAGCTCCATCACACGCGCCCCAGTGACCCCACACCGCCAGGCACTCAGCACCCCGCTGTCCCGCTCAACGACCTTTTGGGTTATTGATGCTTTTAGCATTTGGAATTGACTTTTATCTCCTCTGACAGACGGTCAGCCGAGGCACAGAGACGTGACTGCTGTCTTAGTCTGGATTCTGCCGGAAGCAGATTTTCAAATGGAAAATTGAGTGTAAGAGTTTTATTTGAGATTCCCAGAAATAATCTGGAGGGAAACTGAGGAAGTGATATAATGCTGGGTGAGAAGCCAAGGAAAGGTGACTTATCACCGAGGCAGCCACGGCCATGGGCGCCTGCACCCTCGCCCCTCCCCCGGCAGCCGCAGAGCCGTCCCAGCCCGGGGCGTGCAGCCAGTAACCCACTGCTGCGGGGCTGCTTCCCGAGCATTCGCTTTCCGAAAGTCCAGCTTGCCTTCCAGGGAGTGAGTCAGATGTGCTTCTGCAAGAATCAAAGCCTTTAGGCAGAGGTGCAGGCTTTCCCAGCGTAACAGGGAGGAACACATCTGACCCCTTATTAGCTCTGTTCCCCTGGCTCTAACCCCGTGCTCTGTTTCCTCGGCTCCGTCGTGCTGGTTCGGCACCTCTTGTAAAAGAATCTTGCCCAGAGCCTGAAATACACAGGGGAGCCCCTTCTCAAGCTCTTCCACTCATACAGAGAGAAAAAGCCGCAGAGCAGGGCAGAACGTTTGTCTCGCTGGAGGTTCACAGGCACACCGTGACCGGACCCACGTGATCAGCTGCAAGAACAAAGGATTCTGACACCGAGAGGTCTGCACCAACCAGCCACACCCCTTCCCCATTCTAGTATAAAATGGGCCTGAATTCTGCCTTGGACGAGACGGTTCTCCAGGACCTTAGTCCCCCATCTTCTTAGTCTGCTGACTTTCTGAATAAAATCATTATTCACTGCCCCAACACCTCGTCTCCCAATTTATCGGTCTGTCGTGCGGCGAGCATTATGAGTCTGGACTCAGTAACAGCAGGAAGCAGCTCTGCAGTAGCGACGAGTCCCGAGTGGACGTGGGCCGGCAGCTCTGTGGCCCTGCCCGCGGCCACCCAGCTGGCAAGCGGGAGGCAGGCTTTGGACACCAGGAGCCTGGCTCTGGAGCCACGCGCCCAACAGCATGCGCAGCGGCCGTGCAGCTCTGCTCGGGGCTGCCGAGACATCAGCCATCAGCCACACGTGGCTCTCGAGCGCGAGAAATACGACCCCCTTCATTCTCAATCTGGTGGTTGCCGGGGACTGCGGGCCTCAGTCAGAAGACCTGGGGATCACACTTGGTGCCTCCCCTAAGTCTCTGGGGAACCGGCTGGTTTGAGCCTTTAAGAGCCGCTCAGCACACCAGCTGCGCCTGCGCCCCACCGTCCTCAGGAGCCCTCGGGACCCGCCAAGGACTCGGCAGGCACTTCACATCTGTGAGTGCCTCAGGTCCGTTTAGAGATGAGACAACGGAAGTTCAGAGAAGTTGAGTAGTGCGCCCAAGTCTTAGGGCTGGCAGGTGACTCCCTGCCCCACCCCCCGATGTCCAGGTCGGGGCTGTCCCCAGACCCTGTGCTCTGGAAAGCACCGTCCTCCTTCCGCACCTGCAGCTGAGACTCTGTGCAGGCCCGAGGGTGGAGCCTGGGTGCAGGCACCAACAAGGGGCCCCAGACGGGGGATCCAGGACGAAGTGCCCAGAAAGGGGAACGGAAAGAGGGCGGGTGGGCTCCAGGCGCCGCTGGGGCCTGCGCACTGTCGCTGGCTTGATGTGAGACCCAAGGAGAACTTGGAACTCTGCACAGATCTTTAAAATACGTGGTCTCACGTGACCCACGAGGAGATAATTACCTTACAAGTAGGGAAACTGAGGCTCAGAACACCACTCACCAAGGTCACACGCGGGCACATGGCACCCCAGGAATCAAACCTAAAACTGACTGCACATCTTGTGTTCCACCCACCACCCTCAGCTCCCTCTTCAGCCTGGCCCACGGGGTTCAGGCTGCTGGCAACGAGCTGGTGTCTCTGCCCTGGGCAGTGGCTCCGACAGCGAACCTGAGCCCTGGACACACCCCTTCCTCACCCCCAGCTCCCACAGGAGCCAGGGCACTGGGCTGTGTACCTTTCTTTCTGGCCAAGGTGATGATGTCGGCCGCGCTCCTGCTCATCACCTTGGTGATGTACACGGGGCAGTTGATCCGGCCCGCGATGGTGATGGCCCGGAACACAGCCTCGGCCTCCAGCTGCGGACACAGCAAATACACGGGTCACGGGAGGCTGGGATGGGGGACCACCCATCCTGAGTTCCCAGGGCTCTCCCTTATCAGCCTCCTTCAATTTTCCTTAATTAAATGTGGTCAGAGGGAAATCTACTGCATCAGAGGAGGAAAACTGCAGATTTTATTTATTTTTTATTTTGGGGGAAGGAGAGGTAATTAGGTTTTTATTGAGCTATACCCATCCCCTCGGTTTTAAAATTTTTATTATTATTATTATTTGATGGAGGGGCTGGGGATTGAACCCAGGACCTCGTGTGTGCTACGCACGTGCTCTACCACTGAGCTATATTCTCCCCCCAATTAAATGTGGTGGTCAGAGGAAAGTCTACTGCATCCAAGGAGGAAAAGAGTGTAGATTTTTTTAAAGGAAAGAAAAAAATTAGACAAAATGTATTTGGCTGGAGGGTTGGAAGGCAGAATCAAGACACTTGCTTGGAAGTATGCTGCACGTTCTGTTAGAAGGTTGAGAGGAAGGTACAGCTCAGTGGCAGAGCGCGGGCTTAGCGCGCGCAGGGTCCTGGGCTCAACCCCCAGTACCTCCATTTAAAAAAATAAATAATAGATAAATAAATAAAAATAAAATTAAAAACCACCTTGCATGTACTGTCTTTTACAAAAAGAAGGGAGACTGACTAGGCAGAGCGGGCATCAAAAGG